TGTCCTCTGTAGGACACAGGGCTGGCCAGACCACGTGGACACACACGTCTCGGTGCCTGTGGGCGTAGGTGTGTGGGTGGATACAGGGAACTTAAAAAGTTAAATAAGATAAAATCACCATGCCCTTCCACAGGGTCTCAAGTGGAAGGGAGAGGATGTTTTAGTACGAAGCTTCAACCTGTCACCGTAAATACTCAGCTACTTCAGGGCCAGGTGGTGGTAAGGTGTACTAAACAGCATGGAAACACTCCCAGGGCTACAACAAACATTCAGTGTGTGGTAGTCACAGGGCCCTGCTTTGTAAACGTCTAAACTATTTTACTGTAGCTTATGTTCCTGCATCAGCCTGTAACATGTTTAACAAAATATATATCAATATAAGGTAAAAATAATATTATTGACAAAATTAGCTCAATACAGTTGCATAAAAGTCACACCTGAATTAGTCATCAGACACTGAGCTGACTCTCCCAGAACAGAACTAGGAATTTCTATTTCTCCTGACCATCGTTAGCCTCAAAATAAAATAAATAATGAAGCCCCTTCTCCTTCTTACTGAAAAGAGCTGCCTAATGGTCTGAAGAGCAGCTCTGTGAGGCTTTCAGTCAGGCCTCAGAGGGTTTTCCAGCAGATGAACTCCGAGTTTGATCTGGAGGCAAGCACAGGCTGGTCAAGAGCCTCAGTCAAGCCCGGGATCCCCAGCCACCCACCTGAGGTAAGTGGAGCTCCTCACTGTCCCTTAGCCATCGGTTCAAACTTCCATGACAGCGAACCCCCAGACTGCATGGGCACTGCTGGCTGGCAGCAAGGAGAGGGAGAGAGGCTCCAGCTCCTTCTGGGCACGTCTCCATGCTCTAGAGCTGCCCGAGGTGTGTGCTCTCGCTGCAGTCCCAGCAGCCAACTCTACTTAGTTATCCCAGGCTGACAGTAATGCCCTTCCATCAGTCACTGCTGGTTCCCCAAACCAGCAAATGACACTCCAACAAGGTGAAGCTGCTTATTGGTAACTTGAAGTTATCAGCAACTGGGGACTGAGATGTGCTATCCACACATACGACTTTCATCAGGCACTAAATGATGGAGAGTGTTTGGCCTCAGCAATACCTGTTTGCAGTGTTCTTACTCTGGGACTCTTCCCACCTTTGCTTGAACACAGGCCAAACGGAGAAGCCAACTCTACTCCTTCCCATTCTTCTAAACATTCAAATGCCATTAAAAAAGAAAAAAAAAAAAAAAAAAGGAATTCATGGTAAGGAGAGACGTTTCCCTAAAGACAACTTGTCTGTAAAATTTCCCATCATTGGCAAGCAGCATTTCTGTGTGCCTGTCCCTGAGGATACGTTGAAGCACTACCATGCAACCTGAACCAGTTACCCAGAGAAAGGGGACACATGGTGACGCGTTAGCTACGTACACAGAGGTGTGGTTGGCAGGCTCCCTGGCTGTCGTCACCCCTTGA